TTAATTTAAACTCCTATTACGGTTATAGAGATTTGACTTAACGAGTATTCGAATTTTGCGGAATAAGCATATTGATACGACAAGAAAACATCATTGCACAAATAACTGTAATGCATTGGATTCTATGAATAACTAAATACACAAGCTTTCAATACAATCAATTTCAAGTTATAAAGGCTTTAAGATTAATTAAAGTAAAAAAAAAAGCTTGATCCGGGGAAAAACAAACTTTGAGAACTATTAGAAAAATTTAAAGTCTTAAATCCAATATTGTAATTTAATCTTGAAGAAAAACTAGATAAAAATTCTTATATCAAAATTTCCACATTATTATATAAAATAAATAAATATTATATAAAAATATTTCTTTGACTTGCAATTTGTTGCGAGAAAACTCCTTGCAACTTTTCATGATATCAGCAAAATATAAAGTAAATCAATTTGCATATACATTTGGCCCGACCTTGATTACAACATTCTAACCGTCTTGGTATCTCTCATTATTTTTGAGACATGAGCCATGCTTGTACTTTAGAAAATTTGTAAGACTTGTTTGATTAGTTTTATCTATCACCACCATTTAATATGATGTTTTATCGTCATTCACGATTTCACATGATACGAAAAATAATGAGTCATACGAAACTTGGTTTGAGGCTTAATTGTGGTTATATCATTAAAAGCCACTTATCTGAAGAGACGGGAGGTTAGAACGTAAGAGCAAGTCCAATGGTGTTTCTTAGTGAAGTTCTTAAGAAATCCTTAGTTTAAAAAATCATTAAAATTAATGAAAACAAGATACTATAGTTTCTTAGCTTAAGAATTGTTTCTTAGTTTAGAGTTTTAGGATTTGTTAAGGACTCATGTTGTGTTGTTTTGTGATTGGGTGAGGAAAAAATATAGAAGCCAAAAATAAATTTATCTTTTGTTTTTTGTTATTCTGCGACACTTATTTTTCTGTCTTGCAAAAATTTATCCTTTTTTTCTTGTTTAAATGCTAAAGTCTTGTTTTTGTGAATGAAGTTTTACTAAGACTCAGATTCATATATGGTATAAATTTGGCACGAATTAAGCTAACGACTAATCGTTATTCCGGTTTTTGATTTATATTTTTTATATGCTTTTATGTTTTGTATGTTTAAAATTTTAGAAAATTATAATAATTATTAAGTTTTATCAAATAAAAATGTTTATAATTTTCATTTTAAAAATAATTTTTTTTTAAGAAACTCATTTAAGGACTCTACCATTGGACAATGAAAATTTTAAGGATTCAACACAAACTCTTAATTTTAAAATTATCACAATTTATAATAAAAAAATGTTTAAGAGTCCTTTTATAGACTTTACCATTGGACTTGCTCAACATACACACTTTTTTTTTTATAACTAATGGGTGATTTAAAAAACAAATTGTGCTTGATTACTAAATTTTAATAATGGATATGTCGAATAGTAGAATTGTTGTGAGATTATTTTAAAAGAAGTTCCCAGCAAATCAATTACACTTTTCTTATACAAAAAAATATAATTGTTTCAATTTTTCAAACATTGAATATTATTTTAAAATTTGGAGTAATATCAAAGAACAACGAGACAAAGGACCTGATTGGTTATGGTTGTAGCTTTAGATTTTTGTCGGTAGAATATAGGCTGTAAATTTTTTTGCAATAGCTTTAAGATTTTGACTGTGATTTTTCAAAAATAAAAGCATGATTGGTAAATCTAAATGTAGATTTTCAAAAAAAGAAAACGTGATTGTAATTGATAAGTTTAAATTGTGTATTAAATATTAATAAATTTTAAAACAAGATTTTCTAAAGTTTGGGCTGTGTTATAGTGATGTAGGAATATTTTTGGATGTGGAAAGTTTCTATAACCACTACCAATCATCCTCAAAGAAATTCCACGAGATTTGGACATTCCAAACATCTAAACACTTCACAAAAAATCTGAATTCCAATTTTAGTAATCTCCACAATTTATCATATAGTATAAATTGAAAAAAAAAATGACTATAGAAAAATGTGTATTTGCAAAATTCTTTCAAGGGGATTAAAATGTACACGAATTTTTTCTATATTTCATGTGCCACTCGAATTTTACCAATTTTGAACAAACTTGGCCATCAACCTAATTAACTTAAATTATACTTCCAAAACGTTTTTCCGCATACATCTCATCTTCATGTGTTCCACTGCATTAGTTGTTTGCCCTCATCAGAGACTTGTTGCGTTTGCAGTGCCTAGTATAAAATCATAGAATGTATACATAAATATAAGTTAGCATAAATAATATATTTTCTTGATAAAAGTAAATAAATAATATTGATATAGATATTTTTTTTCGACGATAGAGAAAGAGATCTTAGTGGACTTCTGCAACTAAAAAGGCTGTATGACACACACACACGTCCTATTGTTTCCTATCTGTCCGACTACCTAGAACCTCTTGTGCCTTGAAGCACAGGCTGTCCAGGTGATACATATCCATTATCATATTTACTTATAAATAAATGTATATATTAATGTATTAGTGTATGGACTCATATTGTATTAATATATATTTGTTGAAAGTGACCCCAAATTTTTTTTGTATCATTTATAGAAAAACAATTTAAATGTTCAAAATCATATGAAATTTTGCAGTGAATATAGGCAAAATAAACATTAAACACAATAAATTAAAGATGTACTACTACAGGATTTTTTTTTGTTTTTTTTATTTATGCGCATCCTAAATAATCTTAATGAAATTGTATTTTATTATATTATAGAAATTTGTAGTTTTTTTTTATAAAAAATAAACGTCAGGAGTCAGGTGGCAATTGGCATGGTTCTTGAGAAAGTCTGAATGGGAACCCATCTCTCCGATAAACAAATAATTAGATCCCTATTTCTTCCCTTTTCTTTATTATTTTGTATTAAAAATCATATAGATCCTCACCAAGAAAATGTTGAAAAAATCATCTACATTTCTAAAATTATTTCCTCCTGCACTTTATTTTTACTTTTTTGTTCCATAATATTTTCCATATTAATTAAAATTATTGTTAAATAACAGTTGATAAAAATATTTAAATTAATGGAAAAAATCATACAAATAAATTAATGATAAAAACTAATGATGAATAATGGAAAAATGAATTACTATATTTTCTTGTATAGTAAACTAATCTAGATTGGGACCAGTATAAGATACTACCAAAATTTTGTTTTTGCTACCAGTGAAAAAGAAAATCATTTGCTATCAATTACTGGTATGAATACATAATAGCTATTAAGTCTTACTAAGTTAGTATACTAGTTACTATTTTAATAGAATTATCTTATAAAAATATTAAGACCAAAGCCATTGCATTTGCATGTGGAGGAGAAGAACATGAAGGCATTTTTGGCAGAGAAAGACACGTGTCAAAAGCCCGTTTTACCACGTACTGTATGTACGCCAATGGCCTTATGCTACAAAACTGTTGCATAGATTAGATTGTTACAAATATGGAAACCTAATACGAAGAAGTGGCCCGACCATGTGCTTTTTATCCTCATCAATCTCTGAATAATCCCCTTTATTTCTTACGACATATTATTATTATCATACTTTTCTCTAATTTTTTTTTTTGCCCTGAATTTAGTAAACTGTTCCTTAATTTTTTTCACTAAATTACGCACACGTGACGTTTTTTTTTTGGTTTATCACTGGAGAAGCTAATTAGATCACTAAATCATGTACTTCTTGTACGAAAGTTTTGAAAAGTTATTTCTGTAAGACTGTAATTGTTTTTTTTGTTTTTCTTTTTAATATTAACTATTAAAATGACTAACTTGAAAAAGGAAAAAAAAGAGTATTAAGACTGCAGCAGAAATAGGTTTTACGTGTGTTCTTTTTTTGGGGTATCTTTGAAAATAAATCTAAAAGACTTAGTTGTTTTACTGAAAATTGAATCCAATAATACCTATATAGTTTATAAATTTTATTTTCCCGGGAAATATTTTATCACTGGTTTGGAATTTTATGGTGTAAGAAAGATCCTCCTGATGTCTATAAAAACGATTTAATTTGCTTGCATAATTGTCCTTTGAAATGTTTTTATTCATAAGAAACTATTGATAAAATAGCCCGACCATGAGGTGGGTTTAATTCCCGATGAAGGAATCCAGATACAATTGCAAGTAAAACAAACTTAGAGTTCCTACAAATTAATTGATAAATCATAATATAAACATTTTTCAGAACCACTAATTAGATTGTGAAAACTATCACTAACTAGACTAGAAAACCAATGTATTTTATATTTTTAAAATCAATATTGTGCAGTCTCTACACATGACCTGCTGTAAAATGGACAAACTTAAAATAATCAATTCCCACCAAATAAACAACAACTAAGTTTTTATGTGTTTAACATACTCTTAAAATACAAGAGTTAATTATGTTTAGACTTCGTTTGTTCAAAAATAAAAAATAAAAAAAATAAAAAAATGTTTAGACTCCATATATTTGTGGTACTCCGCTTTATATAATTTACATTTTCTGCAAAAAAACCCATCAAAATAGCTATTTTTTTTTGGTAATTTTATCTTTTATCTTCAAAAATAGAAACTACTCTTTAACTATAGAATTTAATTAACTATAGATCAAGTCTTGTCGAAATCTAAATAACGGTAACAAAAAAACATGTTTAAGCATCAACATTCTGTGTATATATCAAATTAATTACTATGATATCAACACACAAAACATAAAATTGATAAATGGAAAACTTATTATTGCTTATTTTCTGATGAAAGTAGACAACATTTTATTTATACTAGTATAAGTAGAAAAACGGTGTTGATGTAATTGATGACGCAGCAAAGACTTTTCAGCAGTCCCCGTGAAAACCTGTCGTCGTCTCTTCCCTCTCCCAATGAAATTTACCCAAACTACGAGTCCTCTCCCTTCTTTTAAAGTTCTTTAGTTTTATTAGTCTACACTTATTACGACGAATATACTTTTATAAAGTACCAAAATCACATTCAACTTCTTTTATTCATGAAGAGACCAATAATTCATCAACAAATACAAGAAGCTAATTTCACATTACCCACAAAAGAAAGAAAAAAAACCCCACAAATAACTAAACACATTTTCGTGATAAAAGAGTACTACTTATTTTATCGTACCCGTTATAAGATATACCTAATAAAAGAAACACGATACATATTTATATGGAATGCTTATTTTTTAAATATATGTAAATGATTTTTGCCTATGATTTTATTGTTTTATAATTATGAAAAAGGAGCCCTATGAGGAGCACCTTTTCTTCTATTACCAAGTGATGAAAGAACCATCCCAGGCAAGTAATTGTTCTCTTGCTTCTTCTTCTTGTTCTTCTTCTTCTCTTTTTTATGACTATTGTTACCTTGCTCTGATTCATCTGAAATTACCATTATATCCTCCGCATCCTCCATGGTCGATATTTCTCCGAGCTGATCATGTCCGTCCATTCTCAAACCCTCGAACGTGAAGTCCGATTCATCAATTCTATAGAGAACGCTTGATAAATCATCTCCTTGATATGATAAATAATCCACCTGCATTCATATTTTTTAATCATTGTTAGGTAACATAATTGTGTCTTTATAATAATAATAACGCATACGGCTAATATTGGACATGATAGTTCATAACCTAGGAAAGTGCCCACTTTGTACTTGCACATGTGTTTAAGAATATTAAACAATGAACACAATCCAAGAAATTTCTTAACATGATTATAAAGCATGAAGAGAAATAAAAAAAACAGCTGTTTCCCAAAGTTTTGTTTTTTCATCTTTAGTGTAATGATTTATTAATAAAAACTTTATGTCATATGGTTAAAAGTTGAAGCAATCATTCTATTCTATTATTTTTTTCCAACTTTTACTGAATATAAAAAATCAACAAGTGAATCTCAAGAATTAATGGGTCTCACTTTTGTCATTCATGGGTCAACTATGTCAGCAACTTAATTATAACTAATTTCCATGTTTTTATTGCACTAGGAAGGACAAAATTCAAATTAAAAGGTTTAAGTTCTCTTCTTAATTAGGGTTCACCTAAGAGTAACATAATTTTCAAATTATTTTTGCAATATTATTACCTTGCAAGAGAGGGAACAAAAGTGGAATGGTTCTTGGAGGATTCTATCACAAGTGAAGCAAACATTTGAAGAAACCTTAGCTCTTGATTGTGGTCTTTGATTTATGAATATCACTTTGGCTCCGTTAATTGTATATGGCTGAATATACAAAATTCTCAATCAGTATAATAAATTAAATTCAAAATAAAAGCCTTCAAGAAATTATTTCACCTGAACATATGAACAATCTATGAGCTTCTCAAGATCACTCAGCCGAACGACGTCGTGGTATACATATCGTCTCACCTGCCGATTCATAAACGAAAGGGCTTAATTGTTAGAATTTAAACTAATCGGGTAAAATTCATAATCCTTCACAAAATAAATCCTCCTTATCTCTACGGAAGCAAACAACAGGGCAATAAATAAATCTTATAATTTTATGAAGAAGGATAGATTTGCACCAATAATGTTTTTTGGGGAATAGTGGAAAATTATTAAACATTTTAAATTGATAAAAACAAAAAAACCTGTGGGAAAGAAGTTAAGGGAAGTGAAGGAAAAGGAATTTGGTCAAAAGCTTTGATGTTCTTTGAAAGCAACAGCTCAAGAGAAGTTGAGCAGAGAAGACAATAAATTTTAAAGGAACCAAGCAATTTGAAAAGAGAAAGAATTAATAAAAGATGTGAAAAAGATACATACTATATATTTTTTTTTTTTGGTATGAAGATACATACTATATATAGAAACAAACCAAATCCACAAAATAGACAATTCAAGTCCAATTACTATCATCACATAAATACATGATACATATGAATCTATATATGTTGTTTATACATGCTCTCAAAACCTCCAAACATAATTAGAGAAATGATCATATCTTTAGAGTAATTAAACCAAATTTGACCTAAAGGGTTAAATATGTAAAATTTAATCTTAGAGGAAAATTAAAAAATTATGAGAAATTTAGAAAGATGGCTTAAAGGGTCTTTTAAGAAGATGAACATTATAAAAAACATATTTTTGGGAGAAGAAAAAGTTTGTGATAATGAAAGTTCCATTAAAAAAACAAAGTTCTTATAGTACAAGTTCCAAAAGCTCTACAATTTGCATTTTTTTGTTAACCGGGGAAATCTCAAATCGAACTCCAGACTAATCCCGGAATTGAGAATTTTCCAGGAAAATTACCAAGAAAAATCAAAAACAAGGGTTTATGGTTAGATTTAACAATTTGCTAACGTGTGTTAGTATATACATATTTCGCTACAATCCAAACATCTCTTATAAGAGAGAGAATTTTCTTCGAGAAATCGAGTAACAGAAAAAAACTATACGTACACAGTGATTCAGTGTAAGTACAGATATCAACACAAAAAAAAAAATTTACAATTCACAAAAAAAAAACATGGGTATTGAAATTGTCAAGGAATCGAATCATGGGTCATAAAAAATTCTCAATTTTTTAAAGTTTGGTTACCTGAAGAAGAGGATGAGAGCGATGTGCAGGGAGACAGTGAGGACAAACACTGAGACAACAGAGTAAGCAAAAAACGTTCTTTTCGCTTTTACGGCGAGTTTCGTGGATTCCACAGCTTGAGAAGAAAGTTTCCGCCATTAATCCTTCAAGCCATGCAGGTTTTGTTGCTATCATCATCATCATCTCTTCTTCTTCTTCTTCACCATCTCTCATCATTTCTGTGAATTTTTATGATAGAGTTAAAACCCAGATGGAAAGTTTCGAAATTTTCACTCAATTTATTGAACAAGAAGAAGAACCCTAAAGAGAGATTGAGATTTTTGATTGGGGGCTTCAATTTTGGAGAGTGTGTGTGTGTGTGAAGAAGAAGTGTATGTAAATGTTTATATATAATATCCAATGTTATGTGTATACGTCATACGTGTGTGTGTATGTGTATTGGTGTTTTTTTGTAATGTAGAGGAGGTTCCAGAATTATTGTCGCTACGTATAGAGAGAGAAGGTGTTGGTTGGGTAGGAGAAAGAGAGAGAGAATGTCTTTTATTGAGAAAACGAAATGTTCCCAAAGATCAAATCTTTTGCTCCATTGGCGAAAGATCAAATTTTAGAGAGAAGGTGTGACAGAGTAAGTGGCATGGTTAAAGTTTTAGTCTTGATTTTACCATTGGGCAAAACACACAATAATAGATAACTCAATTTCAAGTTTTTGATTACCTTTTACATGGAACAAAAAGATTGACTGAGATCTTTATTGAGAGGATTTATATGTTTCTTTCTTTTAAAGAAAAAGACTTAAAATTAATATTACGAATGTATATCTTCTTGATCTTTTGTTTGTGGTGCATTTAATTTCATAGAGGACAAGTGTCCCTGAAGATTAGTTTGTTTGGAGGGATCTCTAAGGTTAATTTACTTTTTCTGGATATGATGATACTCATGTCTCCCCTCCTTCCACCTAACATATAAAAAACAAAGTGATTTTTGTTTGGTAAAAGATTTTTGGAATTCACTTTTTAATTCATATATTAAAAAGCTTTACATAATTTTTATTTATAACATTTACGATCATTTATAGCAAAATTACTTAAATTATCACTCCACATATATATCTTGTGAAGGTGTTGAGGTATAATTATGGTGTGATATTTATATATATATATATATGACATTAATTAAGAAGATATAAAATATGGATTGATAATGAAGATACAAAGATATGGAGTGATAATATTATTATAATAATCTTATAAGTGATAGTGGGTATACTTATATTTTATTCACACGCTATATTTTCATTTTACTAAATAAAATTTCTGAGTGTCGAAATTTATAGTACTTTATGAATGTTAAATTACTTGGTGTTATTATGCTATGCACATATATTAAATTTATCTTAAAAGACCAAGCAAACTTTAAAAGTAATCAATGTTGGTGCTATTTAATTATAAATTACAAAGTTTATAGAAGTGTTTATATCAACATTGTCACTCCTAGTTCTCTCTTTCTTTCCTTTTTCTCCCAAAAAATATTAAATAAAAACTCATATTTTTGTTTTTAAAAAAGGAATTTGTGCAAAAAAATCCTCCAAATCGCTAATATTTGCAGTTTTACCATTCATCTCCGAAAAATGCAAATCAATATTACGAAGTCAAATATAATATGCAATATAACCCGTTTAGATATTTTAAATTTTGGGTTTGGATTCGGATCGGATTTTTTGGATCGATAGTCTCAAAAACCATCATAATTCCAATAACTAAAATTATCAACAGTTTCAAAAATATAATTAACAATACAAAGAGAACAAAAATATGAGAAAGCTTTAAGAAACCGAGGTGAGGAGAAGAGTACTTAAAAAACTTAAAAATAAAGAGAGCATCACTCTTGCCAATGCCATCCATACTCTATTGTATTTTCTTCTTCTTTTTTCTTAGTTATAATATTAATAAAATAATTTCATATCATACTTTCACTCATATCTCATATCCTAGCTTTGGACATCTCCAAAAATCTAAATTTGTCAATCAAACGCTTTCTGGTAATTGTTTTGTTCTTTTTTGTCCTGACTATTTTGTTTTGTACAAATTCTGTTTATTAGAACTTTCAAGCCAAATCATATTGCGAAGCTTAAATATACTTATGATATTGATTTCTTTGAAAATAAAGCTTAAAAATAAAGAGAGCATCGCTCTTGCCAAGGCCAACGTCTCTGTCATCCATATTCTATTTTATTTTCTTATTTTTTGTTTCTTAGTTATAATATTAATAAAATAATTTTATATCTTACTTTTGGCCTTTTGGGCATATCTCATATCATAGCTTCGGACATGCTCCAAAAATTTAAATTTGTCAATCAAACGCTTTCTAGTATTGTTTTGTTCTCTTTTGTCTTAACTATTTTATTTTGTACAAATTCTATTTATCAGAGCTTTCAAGCCAGATCATGTCGTGAAGTTTAAAGATAATTATGATATTGATTTTCATGAATTCATCGTGGAGCAACATACTGTTGATTTTGTCACGAGTCACTACCTCATTCACGATATCACCAATGAGGACAATAATTTCTAAAGCTGCTCAATATCCTTAACAAATCCCAAATTAATAGTCTTTTGCATAACAAAACAAAAGGTATGAAATTGTTAGATCTTATTTTTATCTCTTTTAGTGATGTATTCAGTATTCATATATAACCTTATTTTTCACCTCTTGGTTCAAATCATTGGTGGCAAGTTGGCAGCTCGCGGATTTGCTTCATCTTTATCTAGATGGAGAAAAATATTCATCTATGGTGTATACATAAGCAAAACACTTTCTTTTAACACTAAAATATTCATTAAATCAAATCTATTTATATTTAGTGTTACTTATAATAAATATAGATGAAAATTATACTTAACAAAAAAGTTAAATACAATAAATGAATATTGGCAACAATATCTACAAAGTACAAAGTTGTGAAGTATTTTATTAGTAATAATATAATTCGAATAAGAAAATTAATTTTCAAAATTGGTCTTATTTAATATTTTAGAATTTGTTAATCAATTTTAAAATGGATATAAATTTGATTAATATATTAAAAATACAGTTATATATTTTAAAAGGTCATAATAAATGATATTAGTAATTTCATTAATATCTGAGACCAAAACTTTTACGGAATAACGAAGATGCTTCACTTACTGAATTATATTAGCAATTTTATTATTAGGTGTATAATACTTTTTTAAATAGATACTCCCTCCGTTTCAGTTTAGTTGTCGTTTTAGGATTTAAATTTTGTTTCATAATAGTTATCGTTTTAGGTTTTCAATGCAAATGTTTGGTAAAAATTCCAGTTTTATCCCTACTGTTTTAATGTTTTGGCCAATTAAATTTTTTATAAAATATATTAGTAAAGGGTAAAACAGAAAATTAAATGCTTTACTTAATTTGTGTGAAAAAACATTAAACGACAACTAAAACGAAACGGAGGGAGTATAACATATTAAATTTTTTTAAAGATGTACAAGTATTGGATCTCTAAATATCGCGGTGAATAACATATTGAATATTTTCATGTAAAAATTATAAGATCATGAAATCTTTAGAGAAATATTTTTGTTATTGAAAATCAATATCAATTTTTTGTATTGAACTTTATTTTTATTTTGTGGATGAGATACAATATAGCCTTTTAGATAGATTTTTAGCAATTTGAGTTATTTTTAAATATTGTGATGGTAAGACGGTGGACTTAAACATTATGAAAGAAGTGATTACATAATTTTATCATTGCAATAAAAAAATTTCTCTATGTATATTGTTTGCATGTAATAAATTAAAAGATAGTAAATGAAAGATGGTATACAATTTTAGCACATAATAATGCGACAATCAGTTACATAATAAAATAATATGTTTGAAGCATAAACGAATTGGGCAAGCATATTGTTTTTAATTTATATTTGTTCTATATCACATTATATTATTGATCATTATAAGTTGTGTTTATAAATTTTATTATTTGATATTGTGATATATTAAGATATCTTCTAAATGATTTTCTTTTGAAATATAGTTTCTATAAAATATTATTTTAAAAATGTATGAATTAAATTTGTGAAAATATGGCAGTAAAACTTTCATGTTTTAAACTAAGAAAAAAACTAATTTAAAGTTTTTACCTGATTTTGATTAATTAGTATTACATAAATTGATTAGCAGTAATTTAAAAATTAACTTTGTGATTTCAAATAAATCTAATATTAAATATCGTTTTTTAACAAAAAAAAACATTTAACTATCTTAAATTCTTTGGAAATATTGTTTGACAGTAATGATTTTGAGTTTTAAGATATCTTTAATCATCATTTAAAGATTAACAAAAAAATAATAATTCATGAGTTTATATGGTTAGTTTGGTGATTTTTTTAAAGTTGAGAATTGCTTCACTACTATATTGATAAAATTTAAATCATTTATGAGTTTGTCTAAGTGAAGTGGAGGATTTCAGATTGAACAATAGACAGTTTAGACTAGTACAACCAATGTAGTATTCTTTTTTATAGTATTTTTCAGCATTAATAGGATAGCATATAGTGTCAACCAATTAAATATAATTTATTTATGGTCAGATTATATAGAAACCCAATGGGCCCAACTATATAGAAACCCAATTCGTTTATACTCTCTTTGAACCACATTTACTAAATTGTGGCATGTAATTTGGTTAAACCGTTTCAAACCGAATCAAAAACCATCTACCAAAATTGAAGCCCATTTACTTATTCTATATCAAAATTTGCAATAGAAGAAAAATCCAAAGTTTATTTTAAATAAATTTCAGTTTAAAGATTAGTTCGTTAACAAAAATGAATTCTAAACTGAAATCAAAATTGACGAAAAAAAAAACTGAAATCGAAATTATAGTAAACCATTTGATTCGCTAGCTCCCAGTCAAATTCTTTCTTTATTGCATTGTAATATTACCTAAACAAAACTCAATACATTGTATTCTATGTGTGACCATATTACAATGTTTTAGGCTATGAGGAACAACTGCAAACTATAGAACTGTGACCCCAATGATTAATATGCATATATTATATATACACATACTGTTCTCCCGTTCTACTGCTTTCTACTACAGAATGACCGATGTTTCAAATGGTTTATATCACGACCATAATTTTATCAAATCTTTCTCTCTACACACTTTGTAGCTATACTAGTTGATCGTGCATGCTCGTCATTAACGATACAAAGAACCTCTATACGAGGGACTCCAATAGTCAGTTGCACTGTTATCGCGGTATGCGATTGGGGTGCAAGAAATAGGAACCAAACAAAGCCCTCTACTCCTTAGATCTAGATGTTTCGGTCCCATTTTGTTGTGATCTTCTCTATCCCATCCTCCCCATGGATCCTAAAAACCATACATACGAGATTATAGTTATTTAACTTAAGAGATTTCCTTTTCTAAAAATTCATTAACAAACTATTTTAAAAACTTTAAGAAAAATTTACCACCACCCATTTTCTCCTTTAAACATTACCTTAATTGATGAATTCTTCATATAAGGAGTGCTTAGCAGCTGCATGATCGTTAAAATCACCAACCAAATTGTTAACTAAGATAATCATGCTTGCAAATATATGCTTGCCACAATTATTATTTTTGTAATTTTCACCGTATATAATTAAATAAAACAATTTACCTTAACTTGCTCTTGATAAAAATTTATGTAAGTGATGGCTTCTTGAAGTACAGAAGCAGTATCCGTCTGAAATGTTTTCAAACCAATGTTTCATTTTCTTCGTTGTATTATATAAAAAGGAACGTTGAAAGAGATGAGAACTATATATAATAAAATAAAAACGAAACTAGAAAAAGCAATTTGACAAAACAAAAGAAAGGAAAAAAAAAAATGGTCTTTTTGTTGTTACCTTTCCAAAGGGAGACACAATTTGCTGTAGAGTCGTGATCTTGTCTCGAAGTTTGGCTTTTGGTAGTTCCTGCCATTTCTTTTTCGAAAATAATGTTATGATTTTGATTTTCCTTTTAGTATTTTTTTAGCCGAGTTAGTCTCATTCACAAATAAATCTCATAACCTCCATTCATATGAATATAAATTTATAATAGTGACAAATTTCTTACGTGTTTATCATAGAAATCACAATTCAATATTTTTTGCAACATACTTACTAAGTGCACACATAAGAGGATTAGATTATATAGAAATTACCTTCTCCGGCGAAAGTGTAGAGCCGGCGCTGCACTTGGCCTTCTTGGAGACCTCATCGGAAATTTCTTCACATCTTTTCTTCTTCCCGGCGTTTGTTGTTCCCAATCTCCCTGCTGCCTGCAAAAAATAGCTTTCAAGTTCGTGTTAACGTCAAAACAAAAAAAAAGTTCGTGTTTAACGTCGGTAAATAGACTTTCATTCGTAATATACTAGCATAATGGTGCAATAACAAAATGTTGAATTGTTTTGTGGAGTTAAATGGTTATGCAGGATGAGAATCCTAAAGGAGGAATTTGACATTAAGAAAAACATGCAAATAGCAGCAAAAGAAAACAAAAAATTCCAACTACCACAAACTTTATGGTTATAGATTATTCCTCAAACCTTAAGTGTCCCTTTTGAAAATTTTCTCAAACTATTGGCATTTTTAAAACTAAAATTTGTTTTCTTAGTATGTTAGGATATTTTTCAAAATATAATATATATTGCCACAAAATGCTGGCAATTTTTTTTCATAAACATAGTAATAACATCCGTTACCAAATATAAAGATGCAACAGAAATATCAATGTTAAATCCACTGTTAACTGGAACGTTTTACCCAATGTCGATAATAAGCTATTGTATCACATATTTAATTATATGAACAGATTTGATAGCGTATACGTACCAGTGATGCCGTTTGCTGTTCTTTCTTGTTGAACTCGGATACGTTTAAGGCCTTAAAGCATGGCTTAAACGACGGATTAATATCCGTTAATGGCCTACTTAACCTTACATCAAGGAAATTTCTAGAACTTTCTGTAGGATCATGGAACAAGGAACCACCGCCACTTGAGCCATTATTGTAACAAAGATCTTCCTCATTTTTCACCTCCAAGGCTTGTCTGTACATAGAAACGTCGTCGTTTGTTTGAGAATGATCATGATCGAAGTGATGATGAAGGTTATGGTTCATGTCGGGATTATTCGGTGGCGCAATTGACCAGTGCTTGCCTACAAGATCCGTTAACTTTGACAGCCGTTGGTCACTACTTTGATCGTACCTAACTTGATTTGTGTCATAGACCCAACCGTTATCGTTATGGCAGGCTGACTCGAATGATGCTAGTTCTGATGTTGTTGATGAATTTCTTGAAGATGTTATGTGATGATCATTATGATGATGATGATGATGATGATGATGATGATCCATCATTTGATCTCCTAAGCTTCTACTAGGCCTGTCCATTTATATAATTTTATTAACGTGTGTATAAAATATGATATGTAATGTTACAAAACTTAAGATAAATATGGGCGCGTTTTTTTATAATGAATTTTTGTGTTAATGCTAGATTATTGTTTTTACTTTCAGAATAAGAAACACTAGATAGATATTGATACTTTCATTAAAATAATTTTGGGATATTGTAAACAGGTACAATATGGTTATTTTGGTTTGCATTTTACGTGTTCGTTTATATTTTTCAAGTAATTAATACTTACTACGACAAGTTTTTTAAATTTGAACTACTACAACATCTTTTACTTTAAAATACGAATAAACTATATCTTCGAGTGGCCAATGATATAGAATTATAGATGAATCATAAGTGCAAAATTATAGGCATACCCTAACCAATCAAACGTTAAATCATTTATTGGGGAACAATAATTCAAAAGAGCTAGCTACTAATATACTTTCTGTAAACCAACTTTTAGACCTCTCTTTTGTTTCTAATGTTTTTTTTTTAATTTTTGTTTTTAGGCCTGGAAAGCATTCATTTTTTAAAAACAAACAAAAATAATAATAGTATGAACTAGATGATATCTTTATGGAGTGGAGCGTAGAACTTTAAACCTTAAGCTAAACTTTGATCCACAATTACCGCTATGTGAATTGTAAGGAAGAATGCGAAACTCAAAGAAGAAATAATCATAAGTTGGATAAGATAAATATATATCAAGTGTTTTTATAGATACTTACAAGAAGGCAAGACTCCATAGATGATTATGAGAAGAGACTACGTGGTCGCGGAGCAACTCATCGGAAGAGGAGGCAGGCTGATTTGGAGCCGAGAGAGAGTGATGATTGGAGGATTCAGCTGTTAGGTCCAAACGATTTGAAGCGCTCACGGTAGAGATCGAGAGATTGTCTTCTTCACAGCTAGCGTTTGCGTTTAAGTTTTTATTACTATTCTTATGGTAAAAAGACGTCGAATTAATCGAGTTTGCATGATCATTATGATGATGTTGAACATCTTCCCACCATGATGAACTTGGAGTACATTCTTCCCTTAACATTTTTCTTTCGTCGAACTTATTTTCTTTTGTTGGTAAGTCTAGAGGATATGTACATTAGAGAATATAAAGTGTATATGATACGATCGGTGGTGGTGACAATATTATATGCGAGTGGGGTATGTCCACTACATTACATTTAAAATTACATATAGTTATATATATATATGTATCTAAGCCACCGAAGGATGTGTTATATGCGGTCTGCGTAAGATGGTACGTCAATTAAAGATGTGTTTGACCTCTACATGAACTTGTCACATTTTTCCGGTATCTAGATGGATCTTGGTATATTTTACAATTAGTTAAAATTCTATAGAACCTAATAATGTATATTAGTAGGTATAATCTTTCGATCAGACAACATGCAGAGTCACAAACTAACTAAAAATAGAGTTTTTCTATAAACAGAATATGAACCAAAAAATAATTTGATAGTAGTCAAAATGGTTATGTTTTTATTATAGTTATTTCCTTTTCAACCATGTTATTTGGAGATTAATCTAAGTTTAAAAGAATGGTATTTCAAAACATGTTTTTTCCTCAGAGAAGAAGACATGTCTCCGCCACAACGAGACATGTCTCCGCCACAATGTACATTGTCATCAGACTTGGTATTTGCCTATTTGGCCAACCTATAACCAAAACCCGCCTGTTACCAAAATATGCCTCCGCCACACGTGAATGCGGCCGGGTGCCACAACTTCGTGACATGAGGCCTGAAAATTACTATTACCCAAAAATTGTTGTTTCATTTGCTTGTTAAATATGCGTTGGCGGGCGAAAGCATAGCCATACTAGAAGTTCCACGCTTTATTAGTGCATATGGAGTAGAATTGGACTCGGAGTCAATAGTCACTAGCTAGCTAGCTAATCTTGTATGATGATTCGGTTCTAGAGCCCTATTTGTATATCAAAATTTATGTATCGTCTTCTTTTCAAATAATTTCTTTTGAATTTTGATCGAGAGAAGCCAATTATTTGGCTTTATTTCCATGCTACATTAGGTTTGACCTACTTCTATTCTTTTGCCCTCCAGCTTTAATAAAGATGTTGGTTTGCCGACCAAAAGGTTTAGATTTTGTTTTTGATCGATAACAAAATTTCTGATAACGAAGCTAAAGTTACATAATATTTTTTGTAAAATTGAATTAATTTTAGATGAAAAACAAGAGAGTAACTGAAAACTGATTATTATCACATATAGTTGATTGCATTCTATCATGCATGTTGTATGAATACCATTATGGAAGGACTTGAGCTTCTTATACCAAAAAAAAAAAAAACTAGAGCGAAGGAGAGGAAGGTGTAGAACGGGCAATAGGGTTTATTTCTTTTAATTCTATTTGGCTCCAATTATTATAAAAAGTGGGCAGATGATGCCAAAAAAATAAATTAAATTAACTTGGATATGTTAATTAAATATGCAAGCGTGATTATTGATACACGTTATTATCTTTTTTTGTTTTAATAAAATTTCGTAACCAAAAGTAAGGGGCATTATGGAATATTAAATGTTTATTTTGTAACGTTTCAAATTACCAAACACAAAGCACTCATTGTTCCAATCTACATATTTTTCATGTAATACTCCATAGCAATTCCAGTGTGTGTAATTCAGTTTTCAGTTGTTTGGAATTTTAATCGAGTGAAAAATATATGAAATAAATAGCAATTATATCCGTTGTAAGCATATTAATTGGTATATTATACTCCTTTTGTTTCAAAATATAGGATGTTTTAAGATGTTTTACATATTTTTATTTATGCAATCTTTAAATGCATTTGATGTGTTATGACCATTTGTATTCTGCAGTCTTTTATATCATTGGTTAAATTTTAAAAAATTAAATATTAAATAATAGTTTTAAAAACAATAATAAATTTCTTAAAATATGTGTTTTTAACTAAAACATCCTATATTTTGAAACAGAGGGAATACTATATAAAACGAAGCTTTAAACATTTAAGGTCACAAAATCACAAATTCAAATATTAATAGCAGGAAAACACTAATCAATTGTGATTTATCATATTTTTTGTAGATATCTCCAAAACAGAAAAGTTTTCTATTATAGAATCTGATTAATATATAACACAAAAAAGATAAATAATCAATACGAGTAGAAATTGGAGATTCATTTTTACCACAACCGATAGTCGATAAGTATAAGTTTCTTGGGGTTTTGATTTCACGTACGCATCTAAGTATACTTAATAATATTGACTTATATCGTAAGCTTTAAATTTGATGCTTACTTGTTTGGTGACACGAAACCTAGCAATTAATAAAGGGTTACGATTCCATACTGGCCCTAACTTTTTGATTTCAAAAAGATAATTTAAAGTATTAATCAATAATCACGCCTGTTTAATTAATTTATTATCGTTTCTTGGTGCGCTATTTATTTCTCAGGCATTCATAACTTTTAATCCGAGTCCAATCCCACTCCAAAAGTTTCTTGTCTTTTGCGACATCTTTTTTTTCTTATTTCTCATATTTTAATAAATAACAATTTAAAAAGAGATTGAGTGGCCAAATTTTCTGAGGTTGACTTTTGTTTAATTCACTATCATTTATATTTGACTCTTTATATATTAGTCAATAACCAATCGATAGCACCATAACCCAAGATGTTTTTCTAATGGCCAAAAGTTTAATTTAAAAAATTCAATTGGTGATTATAGTTTGGTTACATGATACCATGGCATATAGTAAAAGTTAGTGGAAGAGAACGATTAGGCCAGTTATGGAAGTATTCTAGGCCCATTTTATTTATTGGTGTTTGGTCATTCCTCATTGGCCCATTCATGATTCATGCATGAAACCATCAAAGTTCAGGTTCGTTGGGCGAGGAAGTTTAAAATTTGCAAATCACATATTTTGTTAAACGGTAAGGGAAAAAAAGAAATCCAAGGAAAGGTAGATACAATTCATGTGGAGTTAGTAACGCTTCAAAACAACCCAACTTGGTTATATAAACTAAGAAAGTTTTGTCGGCTTAGGGTTACGGTAACTTGATGAAAACATTAAGGGTGGTGAATAACTTGGTCCAGCTATTATTTAGGAACCGGACACCTAAACAGGATGAAGTATGATGTGTTTTGGTCTCTTTGACAGTCATCCAAAAATGCTTTTTGTACCGTATAGCGCCACGTTACTTATTGTTATGGTCCCAAGTAAAATGTAGCCTTGTCAAATTTGTCATGCATTGGTAAGTGCTACAACTATAAGAGCCGAGAGAATGAAAAAAAAACTACTAAAAGTTAAGCTGATCTATATGATGCTTCGTGATTCACTAAAAATAGGTTAACATGACGCTAAATAAGTAATTCTCCTAAGTCCTAACGATGACACATGATGTTAACCTATTTTTAGTCCAAGTCTTACTGACAACTTTCAACCCTAAATATATGCATTCTTTTTGTCAATATTGAATTTTTTGCTAACAATACTCGGCTGATAAATGATGTGATACGCTCTAATTGTCTTATAATATATATATTTTTCAAAATTTTATTTAAATCATGGAATGATTATCTATTTTATATACTTAAATAGTTAAAATATTAGATACCATTAAAGCTAGCTAAATTGATGAGGCCAAACTAAATTGCCCAAGCATATGTGGTCTAGTGGCAGAGGAAGCTTTGGGAAAGGGTGAAATTCCCAAACCTGAGTTCGATTCTCCCTGGAAACAAAAACACATTTGTTTGGGAAGTCTGTCAGTTAGGCCTTGACCCAATTGGTTTACCTGGTAGCCAGAAATGCAGGCGGCCTGACTACCCCTGGCACTTAGTCGGAAGGCATTCCAAACTCGGGATAGGCAGAGTGGTAGCCCGTAAGGGCCTAACCGTTAACACGGTGGACTAGTCCACTATGTAGCACTTCGGTGCGTTTCTACCGGGGCCGACCGGATAGCCGATAAGGTTTATCAAAAAAAAAAAAAAAAACTAAATTGTGACCGTCCGTCTAACTAAGTTTGATGTAACAATTGAATAATCAACTCACCAAATCTCTAAATGTACATTTCTATGCGATCCTTTTCTGATAATTATTTGTAGATTAAGAACAGAAGCAATAATTAGTCGATTATAAGTCTATGGCCAAATGAAATGATGGGCCAATGTTCATTTTTTACTTCTTTTTTAGCCAACAATGATGGCCCAATGTTCAGAAAACTTAGCTTCAAATTGCTATTTATTATTTAAATATGTACTGTAATCATTATTTTTCTAAATTATTATCTTACTTTTGTTTAGCTGTCTTTGTTAATTAAAGTAATGTTGGGTGCACTAGAGAGTAGAGACTAGAGGCCCCAATTCAACTCATACCCGATTTATACCTTTCTCCAATTTCTCCACCTTGAACTAACGGTAGCTTATGTTTTTTTTTTTTTTGTTAAAGAAACTAACGGTAGCTTAATGAATTATCAATACAATTTTTAAATACTATAAGAACAGAATCCATATAGTTTCGTGAATATTACAACACCATCCTTTAAACTATTTTTTTCTGTATATCCACGTGTTTAAATAGATATATCGATTATCATATATACAAAAATATAAAAAGTGATTTTGAAATATATAACCGTTCAATGTATTTGAAATTAACTATCAATTGCACATGAGGTCATATGTTTTGGTGAAAGTCGGGCAAGATTTTAAGCTGGAGCAAGAATTGCATGCGTTATATCATTTTTTTTTGTTGAAAAGCTTTTATTATTTAAAGATTTAAACTACAGGGAATCCAAAAGAACCATGAATAAATAACTGAAATTAACATAACCAAGCAGAAAAGAAAAGAAAAGAGAAGAGAAGAAGGGAAGAAGGAAAGAAGGAAAGGTCCGGATATTTGCATGGGTTATATCATACAAATTCCAATGTACAGTTTTCTTATAATGTAAGCACAGTTCCAATGTACCATAAACACAACGATACTTAAGCATTTACTAGTCATTGGTTCCGTCCAAAATTCTTAAATTATTAATTTCAAATTATTAATATGTATTGATATGAGTCAAATTAATTCTAAGACTACTCTCTCAAATAAGAGATCGTTGTTGTGGATGTTGGATTCACACACTCAAGTATTTTTGTTAAGTAGGAAAGATTACTCTTGAGGGACAAAAAATGAATATGTAAAAAGCTTATGAATTGTTACAAGAATTGCTGTAGTATTTCTTACTCGAGAGAGACCCCCCTTACATGACCATT